GTACCATTTGATGACAACTCCTAAAATAATCCTCTTGTGGCCTGCATACATGGTGATCACATTACATGGCAGCTTTCTGAAAAATGAAATCCTGTGTGATTGCCAGGCAACGTGGCAGAAACACACTCCTTGCGAGGGAGCCGAGTGGAACTGTGGCTCTCCAGCAGCCTGGCATGGCTGCAGCCCGCAGTCACCTGCTTGCAGCCTTTCACCGAGTAACTTTTACTGGCTGTCATCAGGTGCACTGGGAATTCATTCATTACTTTACAGGGACTGTGAGGCTGAGATGGTTATAATTAATGTGACCTCTGCTTGAACGCAGACATCCAGGCATCACTGGAACTCAACAGTTATAGTCTGATTTTTTTTTTTTTTTTTTTTAAAGTGGGGTAAGAGAAAAGCTATCTTCCTTTACTCCGAACCAGAGTCCCTCTGAAAGGTCAGTTCTCACTTTTGTAGCCTCGAAAGTAAAGCCTGTCAACCCCCTTATCACTAATCTAAGCGTTGGTTTCAGGTCTTGCTCAGGTTTGAATGATTTGAGTGTTATTGAAGGATGGCCCCAGCTGCTGTCCGCTTTCACACTGCCCAGATTTAGTCTCATGAACAGGATGAAGAAATGGTACATTAAATAAGGCGGGATGACAGTCTGAACTGAGGATGCTGCTGAAATACATGGAGAAAGACTTTTTATTTGGCACCAAACAGACTGGCTGTTCGCATATGGGGAGGTGGGGAGAAGCAATGCTTTCTCCAGGCTCCGGTCAGCCGTACTTTCCACAAACAATGGGAGAGCGAATGCAGAAGGGTTGTGTCCTTTTAGAGAAGGATGGAAGACAAAGTGGTGGAAATCAAATGGATGATCTTGTCTTTGAACCTTTGAAACTCGCACTGCCTTTGGATGTATTTAGTTTCCTCTACTTTATGTTTCCTTTCACTCTTGTATATGTACATACACAAAATGGCAGTAAGGATGAGCTCAGTTTCACAGGGCCTCTAATCCAGGATTTGCTCTCATGTTGCCAGAGAGGAAAGGCAAATGCATTAAGCCGTTTCAGCACCTAATGTAGCCCCAATCTCAGAATTATCTTTACAGTTCAGCTGTTTCATCAGCTGTTCACCCCTTTTTAATTCACTGTACAGAATTTAATCTCTATTACAGAAAGAAACCATACTAGTATCGCTGTTACAATGCACCTACCCACAGTTCTACGCAAAAGGGGGTGAATGTTATTAGATTACGAAGGGGAAAAAATTGCTTTGGCAGTTCTTCAGATGTTGATTTCAGCATATGTTGGCTCTCATTCCTTTCTAACTTGTCCTTTATTATTTTATCATCTTTCCATTTTCCTACTCCAAACCAATTCTATCTCATTACTATGCCTTTTACAATGTCTCTAAACCAGTTTTCTCACTTTCTGTCTATAATAAACTCTCTAGTTCCTTTCAGCCTAGACATAGAAGACCTTGTTTTATTCCCTTCCCTTTTCTTTCATTGTTATTCACCATTCCTCTAGTCACAGATCAGTTAAAGAGCTTCTCTGCTCCTCATGGTTTAGCTCTCCTATGATCTAGCATGTGTTTACAGCACGTGTGCTTGGGCAGCACGCAAGACTTGAGCTGGATTCATTTTATAGTCAGAATAAAAGACATGGGAGGATGCAGTACATCAGCTGAGACAGCAAGTTGTGGTCATGTGCCATTTTAAAGCATTGGCAATCCAGGACATGGGTGGAGGAGCAAGAAATTTTGAAAATAATTTTAAAACAAAGCTATAAATATGAATGAAAAGTGAATGAATTTTTATGAATTTGTTTTTCCAAAAAGCATGTTTTTCTGTGTCAAATTAGAACAAATTCCTAAACATCATCAGGCTCTCTTGAGCCACAGTCCACGTGTTACTTATAATGGGAAACAACAGCAAATGAACCTGAAGATATGTTTTATTTTCCCAGAGGTGTGAGATAGTCAGAAACAGGTTTCCTGTGCATTTTTCATATCTACCTTGTTCAGTGCTCACTAATCCTTACCAAAATGTTACTAAAAATATCCTTTGTGGTCCATTTTAAGAAGAGGAGTAACTAAGAGAGGTACTGTAAAATGATCCTTCTATTTGACTTTTAAAAAGACTACTTTGAAGTAGTGTGCTTCTGACATATTTGAATTCATATCTAGGTTAAAATGTTGTGCTGGTAATGTGCCTATCAAGCTTCTGTGTGTGAACAGTGCTGTGCAAATCACTGAAGTTGGATGTCCTTCAGCTTACTGAGCACATCTTGTTTTCCAACCACCAGGATGGTTTCACTCCTCTAGCTGTTGCACTGCAACAAGGACACAACCAGGCGGTGGCCATCCTCCTGGAAAATGACACCAAGGGGAAAGTGAGATTACCAGCTCTGCATATTGCTGCTAGAAAAGACGACACCAAATCGGCGGCACTCTTGCTGCAGAACGACCATAATGCCGACGTGCAGTCCAAGGTAACACAGTGATGCCCTCGAGGTAACAGGATTGGCACACAGCTGAGAGCCAACGGGCAACAAACTTTGCTTCTTTAGTCTTAGCAGTTAAAGGTAGTTTCTTCTGTGGGGACAGACAAGTTGCTTGACCAGTATCACCAGTAATATATCTACTTTTGCAGTGTTCAGCTATGCAGTAATTGCAAGCTATGATTTTTTTTTTTTTTTTGCTTTTTAGTTATATGTCCCATTTCTTTGGTAAACAACTTTCTTTCATTATTTATAAACCAGAAGAGACTGGAATGAAAGCAGAATCCCTGCTTCCTTATTAAATAGGATACTGGTTTATTGCCCATGGGAACAGAGGTTGTATTTAAAGTTAATGCATGCTTCAATGGCTTTTCCCATAATTAACAGTGTAACTCATTTCAAAAAGCAACATAGTTCTTCATTTTGCGGCCAGTCTTTAATATTTTTCCTCTTTTTCCCAAACCATGCTGCATCAGATGATGGTGAATAGGACGACTGAGGTACCGAGATAAAAAATTTTTAATTACTCTTTCTGTTACTTATAATTACTTTCTCTGCTCTGTGGCAATATTTCTTTATTATTTAGCACTAAAAGTGAACATATGACTCTTTTTTAATACACAGAAATTTGTGACTCAGCAAACCTATTTTTATTCATCCTTTGTCTTAGAATTTCTTTTTATTTGTGACACTATTGAAATAAACCGTTGAGAATTCACATCAGTTCAGAGAAGTCTGAAGTGAGTAATGGAGCTAAGAAGATAAAGATGCTTTTCTAGCCCAATTTAATTAATTAGGAAAATGCGCTCACTTGGCATAACTAAATTAAGGTGTCTGGCTTAGCCAGAATCATGGTAAAATTCATTTTCTTTCTTTTACAATAATAAATAAAATCAAATCCTCCAAGGTAAAAACTTGTTCAGAGCATCTGCTTATTTTTACCATTGTTCTTAGTACAATTTTTTTCAATAAAGTTTTGAGAAGTCCTTAAGGGTTAGCACTTAATCAGAATTTACGTGCAGCAGATAATATTACATGTCTCATACAGATTCTGGAAATATCAATGCTCCAAGCACTTCCACTAAAAATCATGTGTCTGACTGGCTAGAACTGTGATTTCTCCCCCACAAATTATTGTCATGTTTAGGAAAAATAATTGTTTCCAATAATGCAGTCATTATTTGAATGCCTGCTTTTAAATAATAGAGTTTCTCTGTTAGATGAGGGAATAAATTCCGAATGCATGCACAGGGGTGAAAGTGCTCTGTACTCAGTGTGTGCACGCATGAGCAAGTTGCCAGTGATGTGAATTGGGAGGGTGACAGCTTCTCTCTGCCATCTGCCCAGGGACTTGTTCTTCCCTGTGGTAAATGTGCAGCGGTTCACCTCTCCTTCGCTGCCGTTATGTCACCTCTAAGTGCATTTGTCACCAGGTAAACGTGTCTGTGAGAAGTTAGTTGATAATGCAATATACATTCAGTCTATAGCTTAACGCAGTGTCGTATTTGTATGCCTAATATCCTCAGCATACATTTCTCTGGGTATTTACCACAGCAACAAGACTCTGAATTTAATGAGTGTTTGCCTATACTTTGACCAGGATCACCTGTGAGCTGACAAGGAAGTAAATGCAATTAGGGTAAAATAGTGGGCTGACTGCTGTGTCTTCTGGGAATAAACTTGATTTCAGAGTGCAGCACCTGCCCACATTTCTTTATTCCACAAGCAGTTTAAGATGACGCTTTGTACACTGAAAGAAATTAAACTTAGCTGAAAATACGGTATAGTCTAGGAGCCCACAGTATTGGCTTTCCCATAACTGACAGTAAGATCTGATCAAATCAGTGTAAAGCTCTTTAGGGAAACCTCAAAAGCAAGGTCCTTTCTACCTGAATTAATTATGAGACTAAAAGCCTGCTCTGCAGCCTACTTTCTGAAAAATTAATCCTTCTATGTTGTTGTCAAGCAGTTCTGTATCTTGTAGCTGGAGTGTGTTTCACCTTCTAGTGTTCAAGAGGCAATAATTAAATTGTGTTTTTTCTGATGTATAGATGGCAAAGTTTCTTCAGATCTTTTAAGATCCAAATTGTATATAAATACAAATAATTATGGTTCTTATGCTAGTAAGTAGTTTCTCATGTACACAAGATTCTTTGGTCACATATTGAATAACCACTCCTTTAAAAAAAAAAAAAAAGTAAAAAAAAGGGCATATGTTATCAAAATTTCTAATTCTAAGATCAGTAAAATAAGTCCAACAACTTTTGTGGTCATTTAGACGAAAACAGTAAGCATATGCAGCCCAAAAGACCCATGTTGCTTCTGAGTTGTAATAAGGAAGCTTCCTTTATTAGCCATTCTTAAAGAAAATATATTAATATTTTCTGTGATAAAAACTACTCTTCTTATTGGCCACTGATTAGAACACTGCATTGGAGAATGAGAGAATGAAGCACTTCTCATAACCTCCCTTATGAAAACCGTACTCTGCCTGAAAGACGGTGCTATCCTGTAGGGGAACTGGATATCTTTGTTTGCCAGCAGCTTTTAAAATCAAGCTCTAGTTAAGCTGATTATCTTGTATAAATTGATTTCTATAATAAGGGCTGTTTCCCTTTGTAGAGTGGCTTTACACCTTTGCACATAGCCGCGCACTATGGAAACGTCAATGTGGCAACACTTCTGCTAAGCTGCAGTCGATTTCACAGCAAGGGTACGGAGGAATTTTCTCTTCTTAGTTGTAATGGCCCCCAGAAGTGGGAGTGATTCTTTGTGAAATTTGTAGTCAAGAGTAAGTGAGGAGCAAAGTAATGCTGAAACTATTGTGTTCAAAGATGGGGTTTTTTTGCAATAATTCTTAAAGGTTGCCTCCATGCAATGCAGCAGAGTTGTTGGGCATTTAGTAGCGAGCTGTATTCCCAGCTGAAGGAAGCAGGCTCCTGAAAGCTGATGTTCTCATAATGTGTCAACTCGCTTTAGCTTCCCTGTCAGTTACACATACTCCAGAAATACACGTAGGATTTACTGGCTTTTTTGGTATTCAGTAGGCAGGATCCAGTATTTGCTATACTACTTTAATTTGATATTTTCTCATAGAAACATATTTTGAAAAAAGTAAAGTAAGGTACGCTGCCATTATATAAATATAACAATAAAAGTACTAATTAATCATGACTACATTTTGAGGTAAACAACTGCAGAGCTACATAATATAGTCTATTTGCATAGTTCGGAACGTGGTATCTGGTGCCATGAAAACCTCTGGTAATCTGTACGTCTACATGGCTGCTGGATCAGGAGCTTTCTGTTTAATTTTGCATTGCCAGACACTCCTTGAATTACTTTAGGGTTCTGCCTTGTTCGGAACATGGTATCTGGTGCCGTTAAAAACCTCTGGTAATCTGTACGTCAACATGGATGCTGGATCAGGAGCTTTCTGTTTAATTTTGCATTGCCAGACACTCCTTGAATTACTTTAGGGTTCTGCCTTTCAGACTGACTTCCTCCCTCCTGTTGCCGATCTGGAATAGCCTCTAATATTACCTCTCTTCCTCACCTAAAACATTTGCCAGGACTTTCAGCCTGAAAGGACCCTTGATGCCATTGGCATTACACTAAGAAGATTCCTTTGTGTAGGAGGGACGCATTTGTGTATTCTGTCTATGTTGCGATGATTTCAATACATCAGTGTTTCGTGAATATTGACTCATTGGGACTCTGATATATGTTTGTTTATTTGTCTGACTCTGGGACTGTGATGTTCGCTGCTTTGGCAGATGCGCTTCTTCGTTTATTAAAATCTCCAAACAATGAATAAAGGTTCTTGCTTAGAAAGGAATTACTAACTCTAGCTGAGACGTTGTGTGCCTTGCTCTGATGCTGAAGTACGTTTTTGTTTATTCTCTACAACGTGATAGTCTAATTTTTGTGATCCAATCACAAATTCACCACCATTATACACCTTCAAATCCATCATGCTCATTGTTTGTTCTTTTCATGGTGTAGAATGGAATCACCCCACTGCATGTGGCTTCCAAAAGGGGAAACACAAACATGGTGAAGCTCTTGTTGGATCGCGGAGGGCAGATCGATGCCAAAACAAGGGTGAGTGTTTCTATTCCCTGAATATGATGTTGTCCCTTCTTGGGAATGGATTGCATTTTTTGGTTGCTTGCTTTTGTTTTGGTTTTTGTTTGTTTGTTTGTTTTTAAGCCAAAGACTGGGAACACAAGGTTCCTGACTAGGAATTCAACTTCAGTAACTGTGTCTTGTTCTCTGTTCTTAAAGTGAGATGTTAGATGCAGCTGTTATAAATGACTCAAAAAACACACAAAAAAATGTTTAGCTGAACACAGCTCCAAAAATGTTAAACATTGCCTCCTCACAAATGTACTAGTTTTGAAACTTGGACCAAATTTAAATCATGACTCAAAAAATAATTTGTAAATAAATATTTTTGTACCTTTTTTTTTTTTTTTTTAATTCAGAATCTCACCTTCAGTTTTCAGTGTTACTTGTTTTATGGAGGCTGTTTTCTGTAGTATCAGACTAAGGAATGGCAGGTATTGGTGACAGCAGGAGGCAGAAATACTATTTCGTTCAGTCTCATGTATAATCTACCTATATCATAGAAGAAAAAGCTAATGAAAGTCTGCTCCTGTTGAGGAAATAAGCCTGTTAGTTGCTCCAACTTAATGTGACAGAAGAAGATATGCACTACACAGCAATGTGAAGTGGAGGGTCTGGACTCAGCTAAGCCTCTCAGTCCCCTGACTCCTACATGTCTGTGCCAGCCATAGGATACCTAATGACAGCTGCCATAGCGGGCTGGCAGTCACATTTTACTGGAGGTAATACTGGGAACAGGTAACCTACTGTGTGCCAGCAGCAAATCACCTCCTCCCCAGACTAACAACAGAGAATTAGGTGACTCTCCCTGGCTTCCTCCTCCCAGTTGTCCTGTTGAAATGCCACACCAGTACTGTGCTCTGTATTTTGCCCATTCATTTATATGGGCAGAGTTATTATTCAAAAATAGATTTTTGGAGTCATCTAGGAAAATGTGGTCATTTATGCAAACTGAACTGCACAGGACTTGTTCTTGAAAGCTGCTGGGTTTTAAGCACTGATCTGCAAAAATGTATCTCCAAGTATTAGAGGGTGTTTCAGAACAGAGTTTAGAGCTGGACATAAGAGTTTGAAACTAAAGCAATATAGTTTTTGTTTAATAAGGAAGAAAGGTAGTGATACTGCATTCAGTTGCCCTCTGTAGTTACTTTGCTATTAATTTCATCAACCATTTGCTGTTTGATAAACTAGGAAGATAATTGTGATTGTCATGTAAATCTCTATGTGATTTTGATTTTGATTTCTGATTATTTATGAAATTATGTCTCTTGTGTTTGTTTTTTTTTTTTTTTAAATCAAACTACTGATGACGGAAAATGCTGCCTCTCATGGAGGAGTGCAGTAAATCATCCTTGGTCAAATTCTCCACAATAAGTGCCTAAAATCTCTTGGTAAAGAGGCTTGAAATGGTAATAATATGGTGCAGTCAGCATATTCCACATATTCATATACATCATAATGATACAGAAATGGTCCATTTGGCCTGTGGAACAACAGTATTGAATTCACCGATTTCCTGTTCAGTATTTAGATACTTGTTTTGGACAAGTTGGCCCAGATGATTGTAAAGGGCGTTCTGGATTTTAAGAGGTCAAGGTCTATTCCGTTCCCCAGTCACCCAGAGGGATTGATGTGCAGTTGTGAAGGAAACAATAGGACTTTGCCCAGCGTAGGTGGAAGTTGCTATTATTAGAGTCTTCTCATTGTCTTGGCTTCCTGCCCTTTGTCAGCTGTTACATTAGCTCAAAAAGCATCAGCACAAAGGTATCAGTGAAAACCCATAAAGGTACCCTAAAGCACCTATGTCCCCATTTGCCCAGGCTCGGCAGCTTCCTCTTGCTTTCCTCTTCTGCCTTCTCCCTGCTCAAAGGCACATGGTGCTGGTCGGCTGCGCGTACTGCACAGTGGGGGAGATTCCAGAGCTTTGGTTTTGCTGTCCATGTCTCTGTGGCGTGACCTTGTCTTCATGCCAGCTGTTTATATAGTCTCGGTGTCTTTTTCTTTTCCCTTTGCTTTGTCCGCATGCCTTGTGTGCTTTGCTATGGCCGTGAGTACGTAGGGTATTGAAGAGGTAGGTTGTGTGTTGCATGCCATGCATACGTGTGTGTTGTCCTTTAAAGGAAATACTTCCACCACCTCCTCCTCCTTGGTACTAACATGCTTGCCTCTCCATATTTGCCTTTTCATTTCTCTTGAGGAACACTTGCATTCTTCCAGTAGGTCAGATTCACTGAAAAACAGTGGAATTAAATGCACTAGGATATTTCATTGCTGGACAGCTTGAGATGTTCTTCTTGGTCTCCATAGCAAATCAAAAAAAGCCCTTTGGTTAAAAAAGTACTCATTGCTTTCATTCAGTTTATTTTAAACTTGCTTTAAAACATGATATCTGATGATGCATAAATTAAGATGTGAAAACTTATTTTAACAGATTTAAAATGAGCCTCAGTGCTTTAATTTTGCATAGTTAATCTGTGAAATCTTTTTATGTTTGAAAGTGTTCCACTGGAATGATCTATTAGGAGTCCCTGCATTGTCGAAAAAAAAAATAAAATTGTACATTCTTCAAGGGGAGTAAATTATGAATGTGTCCTACTGTTCCATAGTTAATGTTGTATGTCAGAGGAAAGACCTGTTTACTGCAGGAATTAAATATTTTCTATATATTTCATAATGTATTTGCTGAAACTTCATGGCATTTCTCACTAGAGTATAAAGATGTAGAATTGCAAGTAAATCTGCTTGCTATGCTTATATATTTTAAAACAATAATTTATTTACATTTTTTGGTAAGTTTTACCATTTTTCTCAACTAACTACTAAATAAGTTTTTAAAATGTGGAATTTCATTTCTTTTTTGTATTGGATCTAAACCAAAAATGTAAACTCCATTCCCAGTGGTATTAATGGGATATTTTTATTAGTACTATCTGTTATACCTACGTTTGTGCTATTTGTGTTTACATACAAGCCTCGTGTGGAGTTTTGTTTGATAAATGATTAACAGGTAAATTTTTTATGCTAAAACATTTAATATTTAAAATCTTAGTCAAACCTATATTCTTCACAAGTTTATCTGAATAAGAACTTCAGTGACATATGTTTGTTTAATATTTTAAAATTTATTTAAACTGCTGACCTGTACATTTTACTATGGCAGACCGGTGATGTTGAGTTTCAGAAGCAATTGTGTAGACTGTGGCTAGGAATCTTTGTGCAGAAACTTGTTCTCTAAAAGATGGTGGAAAGTTCAGTTTATGATTAAATCGATGTCATGTGGTCAAGAGTAACATGAGAATTATCAATTCTCATTTTTGAGAGAAGGAAAGCACAACTTTCCTGAAACAGCAGAATTATTAGAGGGAGAATTATTTTAAGCATTTAAAAGCAGAGCAATTTCAGCATGGCCAAAATATATGCATTTCTATTAAAAATACATATTCTGATATAATGAACTAGTAACGGTAAGGATATTTGGAAATGTTACTGACTATTAAAGGGTTTTAGCAGTATTCTTTATGAATGCAGTTTTTGTAATATCTCTATTTTTATCATCTCTCTATAAAATGTGGAATATAGTATAGAAAAAATAACAAGAATGTGAGACTTTTTTAGGGTTTTTTTTGTTTTTTTACTTCTAAAATACTGTGTTATTCACAGGCTTTTGACACCTTCCTGGTTTTTCCATTTTCGTGTGACGATGCAAACACGCTTAGAATGGGGGGAGGAACACATTCACCTGTCTCAGATGCTGAAGTTATCACACATTTTGTGCTCTTTCTACTGAATCTTGCCAACACTGAAATTAAATTTTTCTTGCTCTGGGACTTTAGACTCCTCTTGCAGGCTCTTGTCCAGAATGTTTATGGTTGAAAAAAAAATCCTGGAATGAAACAGAACATCTAATCTTGGAATGGAAAGCTTATTGTGTGGGAAAGTAAACATGTTGTGTGCCTGGAGCGTGGCAGCTGGAGCTGGAGAGGGCAGTAGATGTGATAATGGCGGGGAGAAAGTCTGGTGTGACATTTGGGTTGGAGAAGGGCCACAGAAAAGAAAGGAGGCCCAGCTGGAGCTGAAAGAAGTGGAAAGTTGGTCCCAGAGATGTATGATACCAATAGGAAAAGAAAAGGAAGGAAGCTGTGGGAGTGGAACTTGGATTATTGATTTTTTTTGTTGTGAATGAGCATCTGACACCCATTAACACTCATTCTGAGAACCTATTGAGATATATTTCTGTTAGAGTCTCCTTTTGCAAATATGCATCCTGACAGAATAGGCGTGGCTCTCCGCTGTTACCATGCATAGTGGGTTTCCTATCCTAAAGCCATTGTAGCACGATCCTAACACTGCCTTGGCACAATACCATGTTTACAGTTTTTTTTTTCTGCATTTTCTCCTAGTCTTCACACACGCACAGAGCACTAATAATTCATTGGCAGTTTTTGCCATTCCTAAAGCAATGTCAGTTTATAAATATCTAATCACAATGTAGATATTGACTGTAAAAAATTGAGTGGATTCATATAGCGTTTACAAAGGAGGGGGAAGGGATGTTGTACAGATTATCTAAGCAAGCTATATAGGTAGTGACTATTATTTAGAATTATTTAAGTTAATATCTTATTACTCAAGCAAATGCATGGTATATTTTTTGCTGTATTTTCAGAATTTTTATATTGAATGGCATACCTGGAAGAATACCTTAGTGTGTTTAATTATGCCAAGACTCTGAGAGCTTAGAGGAAGAGGGACACTTGCCTTGTTCATTTTTAAAGAGATGAGGTTTGGTAGCAATGAAAAATGAACAAATGAAGAGGCCTTTATTTGTCAAGAAAATTTAGACAATTTTGCGTGTCTAACATACCGAATGCTAAAATTTTATTTTACCCTTATAAAAATGAGAATATGCAGCTGCAGTTTAGAAGAATTCATTGAGAATTTGGCCTTTGATGTTCATGTGCGATCATCAGTTTTCACTTCTTTCAAATGAGCACTGAACATGTGCCATTGTCCTTCTGTTAAGATAGTACCTCATGTGGGAATGACAGAATAGCAGGTGCAGGATGTTGCTTGGAAGATGAAAACATATAACTCACCACTATGTATTATCTGGGATGAGGAGATAAATACTGGACTTCTTAAAATATAGGTAGTTTGAATTTCTTGCCTCCCGGCATGGCAGCCTTTGTGCTCATGGGAAATCCATTATCTGTGCTTCAAGTCTGTGTCTCTTTGACCCAGTGTTGTATGTTCTGTCAAAAGATGTGTTTGGTATTTTGGTCAGCATGTGTTCTTCAGTTCACATGGTGTACGAGTTAGTAATGGGATGATTGAAAATGTATGTAGGCAAACTCCTGCAGTAGATTTCAGAGCATTGAGGTTCATTGCAAACAGCTAGTGGTGCAAAAGAGGACTAACTCGGTACACCCGTGTGTCTCCTGCTGTTGGCCAATGTCAGTTTGTCCCCATTGTGTTATGTACTAGTTCTCCTACTACAACTCTCTCTTTTCAATTTCCTCCATCTTTGAAGTAAACAGAAGCAAAAATAGAATCTAAAGTATTAAATATAAAATAATCTTAAAATACACATGCTGTTTTCATCAGGGCAGAAAGAGGGAAGAGAAGTGAGTTATATGGGAAGGCTGCAAAGCATATCGCTTCATTCACCTACTGGACAGCACACAGATAGGAAATGATGCATTTATAAAAACTATGGCAAGATAGAATAGGATAGATATCAAATTTTGTCTCTACTTTTACAGGGAATTATAGATAAGAACAGAGGACAAATCATGGTTTTAACGATTTAGTTCTTATCATTCTTTCAGCTAGACTTTCTTCTGGAGTTGATGTTTTTCTTAGCTTGTATTGTTCTTTTTGCTCCCTCTGGGGATTTGCCCTATTTTTGTCAAGGCTTCATAAAATTCTAGCTTTCTTTTGCTGTTCTGTCAAAGAGAAAAGCATCAAAGTCACTATGCAGATAAGGAAAGTGAACCTCCCACATTGATTAAAAATGTAGAGCACGAAAGGCCAGAAACTGGAAAGAAATCAATCCCTTTCCTACAAACACATTTGGGACATATTCTCACCTTAGTGATGCTAACGGGATTTATGTGCATGAATCCCTTCAGCAGTGAGGTGAAACTATGTCTCAGTTGTGCATTTAAAGACTTCAGGCTACTCTGAAAAAAAAAAACAGATAAGCTACTTATACCCAATTTCTTTATATTGACCTGATCTGCCAGGTGCTGAACAGCCTTGGATTCTGTCTGTGGGTTTGATCTCACATCTGTTGAATTTCATTGCAAAGCTTCCGTGGGATTTAGTGGTGCCTCTGCCTCTGAGATAGTGAGTTTCAAGGCACACCCAGCACCTTCATATGGTTCAGAAAAATCTCTGGAAACAGTAGATAAGGGAGAAAAATTCCTCCCAGCAGACCTCCGTTCCTCACTAAGTGGAGCTTTGTGCTCTGCTGACTCAGAAAGGTGCTCTGTGCTTTTGAAAGTGAGGATGAGGGAGGATCTACTTCTTGGAGCTACCGTTTGCAGACTATTAATGGCCTATGGTTGCGTAGGCAAAATGATGTTGCAATTGCAAAGGCACTCTGCAATCTAGAGCTATTTTTAATTTAAGTGTTAGTAGTAGAAGTAAAAATACAGAGATGTAGACTTCCCCCAAGCTCCAGCTAGGCAAACAGGGTATCTGTGTATGAAGCAGGGTCACTAACTCATACTTAAGGCCAGCCTATTGCATTTTCGCTACTTTTTTAACCTGTAAGTAATAAGTCTGTATCAGATTAGTATATTCATCTTCTAATCACGCTGTTACTGTATTCTTCAGAAAGCACCCTGGAATAATAGCATCTACCTCATCTAAGACAAGCAGTGTGTCTCAAAGGGAGAAGGCTTTTCTTGTGATAAAAACCTATTACCATTTCAGATTTATAAACTTATGTCTGTTGAATGAGTATTGATGACTTCTCCATGCATGCTTGAACAGTATCAAGGTCTAATGAGATGAAAACTTGGGCTTCTATATTTTACAAATTTTCTTTTTTCTGTCATTAAGCAATAATATTCTTTTCCAACCATTTTTCTTGCCTCGTATTTCCTGTGTTTTTCTGCATAAAGTTAAAACAGTAGCAGAATTACCTAGAATGCATTCTCCTATCTAGATTTTTTATTGACACATCTTTTGCTGCCACTGCTGTGACCATTACTGAGTAACTTGAGCAAGTCCTTTGGTATAGGTGGTGTTCTGCAATGGAAAAAATATTGTGAAGGTAGTGCTGTCACAGCAATTTTAGCAAAGAATTGTTAGCTCATTGTTTGCCACTCAATCTCAGAAATGAAAGGTTTTCTTCTGTTTGTTTCTCTCTGTTTTAAAATCTTCTTTCTCCTGCTGCCTGTTTAAAAACCCAAATAAATTCTAGAGTAAATTTTCTAGCATGAACATTTCTTGTTTTATCCCTGCATCAAAGGACAAGGGTTGATTAATGGAACATCCTTGGCCCAGCACATATTATTCAGGGCGAGGCAATACAATCTCAAAGCTATGCAGAGGAGAAGGAGGGGAGGAGGCAATGCATGCTCACATTATCCTCTTTGATAAGAGATTTCAACACATCCTTGTTGAAATGGTAACCTTAGAGTGTCCTTTACTGGTGCAAGGAAAAATAGGGATGAAACTTCATGTTGTGGAGCCAGCATCAGTTAAGAGTCAAAAAAAGGAGTTTTTTCACAAGCTTGTGGGCTGGATTCCTGGAATGGTGTGCCTCTCAGTGCCAGGACAGACAGTTGGGGATGTACTTATTTGTTTTCCTTCATTTTATTTTAAGGATGGACTCACCCCCCTCCACTGTGCTGCAAGAAGTGGACATGACCAAGTTGTGGAGCTGCTCCTGGAACGAGGTGCCCCGCTGCTTGCAAGGACCAAGGTGTGTATCTTATTGGAATATGTTAACAGGAAGGGAAAGGGTTAATAAAGGGGTTGTTTTCAGTTTTTCTTCCAGCCCGTAGCTCAGATGTCTCTGTTTTTGTGATGAGGTTACTCCACAAACTCATGGTGGCATCCTTCTAGTATATGCCACTGTCTAAGCGAGACGTACTAGAAGTTCTGTTCTGTTTTCTTTTGCCACAGAATGGGCTCTCTCCACTGCACATGGCAGCCCAGGGGGACCATGTGGAATGTGTCAAACATCTGCTGCAGCACAAAGCTCCCGTGGACGACGTCACGCTGGATTACCTGACTGCCCTCCACGTGGCTGCACACTGTGGTCACTATCGTGTCACCAAACTCCTCCTGGACAAGAGAGCAAATCCCAATGCTCGTGCCCTGGTAAACCTGTCCCACCTGTGTCATGTAACAAGCTATCCAGGGCAGATGAGTAGCTCTTGGCAGTAAAGCTAAGTGAAAACTCTGTCAACAAACTCCAACAACGTTCAACAGTTGCAGTCACAACAGGGGTTATCACACCAACTGGTTACCAGTATTGTATCTCACCAGGCCTAGGCATGGACCATGTCCCATGACAAGTGGCTATAGTATCAGGTTTGGAAGCTCTACAGAGTTCCTAGAATCAGAGCTATTTCTAGTTTATGGTACCTTACACATTGGTGTTTTATTGAATTAATAGTTTTGTTTTTCATACTATGTGATATGTCACATAAATATTTTTTAAAAGCTTTCAATTGAACCAGTAACTAATTGGCATGAAGTAATATATTAAGAAGCTAATATTTCTGCATTTATCAGATTATAATATTCCCCTCTATTAGGTGCCACTTTTGTTCCTTTTTAAAAAACAGTTCTTCTGATGCTTACAGGCAAACAGGTATGAGTCCTTTCACTCACTGATCAGACCATTATCCCCTAACTGAGAGAAAAACATCACATTTGTCTTCAGAAGCATACAAAGCTTTCAAGAGTCTTTAATCTATCCGAACCCAGGCAGGATTACAATTTTCTCTAGTAGGAAATGTCCCCATGAACTCTTAGCTGGATAGAACTTAAAATACCAGTATATGATGCTCAGTGGGGGAAAGACAAGAGACCGTGAACATCTGAGATACTTCTGCATGGCAAGAAGCCTGCCATTGCCTGATCTATTCAGTGCTTCCACAGAACTTCGGTGTCTTCCCCTCTTGCCTTCAGTATGACCCTGTGTTTTTCTGTGAAGGCTCCCCCTATCCCAAGGAGTTCCTACTTCCCTGCCTCCCTGGAGATGACTTTTTACTGACACAATTTTCTTCTGCCCTCTCATTTTTCTCAGCCTCTCTATACCCGCAAATCCAGTAACCCCTCTTGCTTCCTTGTCTTACTCTTTTCTTGTTTTGTCTTTCTTGGTATCGTGGTCACTTGATTGGTGTTTTTTGATGCTGTTTTTATCCTTTCTAGTTTTTCTCGCCAGCCTTCTGATTATCTTTAGCTGTACCTTCCTCAGCTACCCACACATACGCATTGTATATTAGCCCCTACATCTTCCTTCTTTCCTTCCATGACCAGAAATATACCTTCTGTTCCTCCCTGTTGCTCCCTGCCTGAGAAACATCTGTCCTGACATGAAAGGAGAACACCCTCAGGCCACTGCCTCTTTGCTCACTTCCCTCCAGACTATGTTTTTTTCCTCTCCCATCAGAGACTTCTTGCCTCTGGCTTTTTTATAGTATTTAATATATTAAATAATGCTCATAATTTCTGTTAGGGATACGTTTTTTCTGCCTTCTCCCCCATCAAACTCTTCCTCACTTAAATAGAAGGAGCAAAATTAAATCAACTCAGGCAGTAAAATTAAGTGAAAGTATAGAAACTTCCAAAATAGTAAAACTCCCTATGAAATATATTGTCTCCTGGCAGTAAAATATCTAATGGTTTTGATTCCTTCTTAAGAAATTGGAGAAGACTAATAGTAGCAATAATATTCAGCAGAGTCCTGTGATGGAATAAATTTTACAAGTAATTGATTTTCAGCTAGATTTAAAAAAATGTTAATGTTTGCAAAATTATTTGGGGATACAAGCACTATATGAGTCCGTAGCTTTTCAATTTGTGTATGCTTTAAAGCACCTTCAAATCAACTAGTAATTAACATCTCGCTTAACAGAAGCTGACTAGAATAATCTGTCCCATGTCTCCAAGAGCTAAGATTTCATTCATAAGTTGTCTACTGCTAGTTGACTGTTTAGCAATACTTATGCTTTTCATTAGAAAATACAGCAATTTTTCAACATTATCTAAAAATGTTACTTGTGCTTTTCACTAAAATGTTCACATATAGTGAATAATGTGTTTACTTAGCTTTAGGTACACACTTAACGTGCATTAACCATAATAGTACATAAAACGAGCTTGATGTCAAAGCATGTATTACAGTATACAGTATGAAGAAAATGCTAAGTTGTGATCTTGATTTAAGATTCCATTCCTGTCCCTGCCCCATTTAATTTTAATCCAGATGAGGGCTGATGCTTGGCTTATAATGCAGGAGTAAAGCAAGAGGGGCCACAAATGCTTCACGAGTGATCACTTTGTATTGTGACACTGTGGCTGAAGTAGTGATTATTTATTTAAGATACCTCACAGAACACTCACAAACACACACAAACATGAATACAGTATACTGTAGATTGATGCATAAATATAAAAATAAATACATAGAAGTGCTTAGATTACAAGATATTCCATAAAGACAAATAAGGTGGAATCTGGAAGAAATACCCTATTCTGTTCTTTTCCTAGAGAGGTATAGAATAAGCTGTATACATTTCAAAAGACACTAACTGATTTCAAACCGACCACAATCATTTCTTAGATTTACCTTGTGTTAGCCAATATTGGGAACTGCTTTAAGTCCTTCTTACACATATATGTATCCAGCCTTCAGAACCACGTACATACATGTGTGCCTGCACACACACTTGAAAGTCTGAACAGGTGCGTCTGTATTTGGTTTTTGGAGGTGGAAGTTCAGTTTCTGTCCATTGCCCGAGAAGAAAGCAGTGACACTGCTTTGTTCTGCCTCAGCCGACTCAGAGATGTCTGTAATTCATAACCTGTTGTGCTTAAAGAACAATCGCTTCTGGTATTCTAACACTTCTGCTCCCAGTGCGCCAGCATGGAGCTGTGTGGAAAGTGTAGCTGCATGTTTTTAACTAACATGACTGTCTTTTGCACAGAATGGTTTTACTCCACTGCACATTGCCTGCAAGAAAAATCGCATCAAAGTCATGGAACTCCTGGTGAAATATGGGGCTTCAATCCAGGCTATAACAGAGGTAGAAAAATGTTTCATGTCCTGAAGAAACATTCCTTCTCTCTCCTTTTTGCTTCCTTTTTTTTTTTTTTTCTCTTTCCTATCATGCCTCACTTTCACTTATGTTTTATTATAACGAAGAAGCCCCTTCCCTACGCTCGTGCAGAGGAGTAAAACTGCTCTTGCTTTGTTTCGCAGTCGGGCCTCACACCAATACACGTGGCTGCATTTATGGGCCACTTGAACATAGTCCTCCTTCTGCTGCAGAACGGAGCTTCTCCCGATGTCACTAACATTGTGAGTATGGCTTTGACTAGAATCATCTCTGCAATACCTCCTACCAAAAAGGTCTAGCCTACCCTGTAGTTCAACCAAAGATCACGTTTTAATGATACTTTAACTTCATTGCATTTTAGAACAAATCTATTCTAGCATCTTTCCCAAGCAGAGAAGAGGTACGGGCATTATAAGCCATCTGCGGTATCCTGTATTCCTCAGCAATGGTTCAGTAGGTAAAGCTTCCCTTAAAAAGAGAGAAAGCTCACCAAATACATCCAAAACTGAATATAAGCGAAGTCACAGGGGAGACTGTATTTTGGTTCTGAATGATGATATTTAAGTTCAAATGGCTCTAATTTCTGCTTGTGTAGCTTCACTGGCTGCCATGAAATTGTGTCATTTGTATCAGTGAAAGGGTATAAAATGCTTAAAAGCTAACAATTAAACAAAAGGTAAAAATGTTATACTCAAGATATGTTCCTTTTTATACAGGAAATGACAGAAACTGGTGCCTTTCAAAAGAACATACTTAAATCTAAAAAATGTGACCTTTGGGAGGTAACACAAAATACAGAACCTGACTTACCATAGAAATCAGTGTTTGTATACCTATGGCCTAGTTACCAAGACAAATAACAATAAAAAGAACATGATGGTTTCCAGAGTTTTATTTCATAGATATCTTTGTTTGAATTTGCAAGTATAAACAAATATTCAACTTATGACCATCTGCACTTTGAGCCAGCTTTTTGCCAGCAACCCAACAACAAAACAACAACAAATATCTAGTAATCCAGGTGCACTGGACTCCTCAGTTTTTCTTAGTTAGAAAAACGTTATATGGAACCTGGTAACACTGTTGAGCACACCGAGTTGTTTGCTTGAATCATTAGAACAGACTCTTCTTGACAAAAACCTCTTAATGCTTTCATACCTTTTTAAAGAAGCAATCTTTATATAAAATCTTTTATTGATGATGTGAAAGCCAACAGAAATTCTTATGGAAGCAATTAAAAGTATTGTGCTGGTGATACCTGACATCTGTGTACAAAGTTTAACACTTTACAGTTCGTGCTTCACCGGTGTATTGGCTTTTACTTGGTATGCTGACATTCCTGTTGAATTACTAACTGGTTCCAAAAGCTAAATTGCTTTGCTAATTCAAGTAAAAAAGGGTCTTTATAGAAATTTGTTCTTCAGAGTGTGTGAAATGTAAAACCTGTTCACATTTTAAACAGCTCGTTCTTCAGGTAATAAAATCTATATAGATGAAATTCTGTATTAAAATTTGTAGCTAGGGTTGTGGGATTTTGTTTGTTGCCTACTTACTAATCACAGCTAGTAATTCAATGTTAGTTTTAAAATTACATGATAAATCAGCTCCTGCAGAGGGTTTGCTTTAATTAGAAGTTCATAATAGCAGGCAAGCTCAGGTTGCTGCTTTTGTTACATCTAGATGAAGGATAAGAAGACGTGATTCCTGATTCTGATGCAAAGATCTTGACCAGAGTTTTCATTTTGGCAATTGCAGTTTAACTTGATAGTCATGGGGGTAAAAGTCTTAGAACAGAATATACTCCAGCTCTAGAGTAAGGAGGGGGAACAATTAACACAAGGAAGTGATCAGTCCTGCTGTGCTGTCATAACATCACAGATGAATACGGAGCTCTTGATTGTGGAATTGTCCCAGTACCTAATGTACCAGATACTGATGAGGTGCACAGGGACTGTTTTAGCCCGCTTCATGACTGCACTCAAAGAATGCTGGACAGTGCAAAATTAAGCTAGAAATGCCATTGTCAAGGAACACTCATTTCCAGTGTTCCTTTGCAAACCTATGCAAAAAGTATGTGCTTTGAATGTATCATCCGTACTTCATTATCCTGACCTGAAATTCCACATCACTCCAGTCAGCTTTCCAAAATTTAGTATTTCCCTTCATATTCTGTAGGCTACAAAAGGCTTGAAACAAGATTCATTCCATAGCCTGCAGACAGAGCCACGCTGCTGGGCACAGACTTTACGGGTTTCATATGCTGGCTCAGTTGCGCGCAGGCGTTGCAGGGCCTTTCAAAGCTGCCAGCTCCACACAGTGTGCAGGAAGAGACCATCTGGAAAAACATCCCATTCCATCTTGAGGCTCATGTGCCTCACAATCCCTTGAGAGGGACAGGCTCAATATACTCTTACCTCCTGTGCAGTGCATAAGCTGATACACTGTTTTATAGGACGCTGGAAAACATATGTGACCAGGGGAGGCTATATGGCAGAATTGTCTATAAACTGGGATTTTCACCCTCTGTAGTGAGATTACTTTTGTCTAGGATCAGAGTTTGCAAACTACTCTCTACCCAGGCCCAGCAACGCGTAGGCGCACTCTTCTGAAATGCCTGTTACCGTGTCTGCAGACAGATTCCCAGCTGGTGGAAGTGTGGGTCTCTGCGTGGGTTGACAGGGGTGGAGTTTACACCGTGGGAGTTCTGTTTCTTCCTGGAGGTTTAGGAGGCTGAAATACTTCCTGTTTTTCTGCAGCGTGGAGAAACTGCGCTGCACATGGCGGCACGTGCTGGGCAGGTGGAAGTGGTTCGCTGCCTCCTGAGAAACGGGGCCCTGGTTGATGCCCGTGCCAGGGTAGGTGTTCTGCTGACAACATTTTATTTGCTTTCTTTTACTCAAAAACATAGCTGCAGCAGGGGAGCTAAGGAGGAGCAATTTAATTTTTATTTCATTGATTCAGTGTTAAGCACGTCTGAAAACAGTTCTGAAAACAGTAATGTATTTATGCATAGATCTTCCAAAGAGAATGTGTGTCATGGTGGGTTGACCTCAGCTGGCAGCTCAGCACCACTTTGTCATTTGCTTACTGCCCTGCAGCACAATGGGGGAGAGAATTGGAAGGATAAAAGTGCAAAAAATCTCTTGGGTTGAGATAAAGACAGTTTAACAAGTGAAGGAGAAGAAAAAAAAAAACAAACCAACCCAAACCCACAAAATCAACCCTTTCTCCCTACAAGTGATGCGAATGCAGGCACTCACAACGTCCCACATGCAGACTGATGCCCAGCTGGACTCTGAGCAACAGCGCCTTTGGAAAAGCTCACCTCCTAGTTTTATTGCAGAGCATGGTGCTATACGGTATGGATGATCTCTTCGGGCAATCCGGGTCAGCTGTCCTGGCTGTGTCCCTTCCCAACCTATTGCCCAACCCCAGGGCAGATTAAACAAATTAGAGCGAGCAAGTGATGCTCACAGTGATGTGTGCTATCTGTTTGATAAAAGGAAATCAATATTTATAGTTCTCTCTGTTCTAAAAAGACTGCTGAAGCTCAGTGCAAAAATCAGCCTGCAAGCCCTCCTTTGCTGCCTTGTTTTGGTACTATTACTTCCTGTGATTTTTGCAAGACAAATGCATAGACAGATCTATTGGGGTCAACCAGAATATTGTGCTCAGAGTGGTTCTACCTGCACTAATTATCTACTCGATTTGAGTTGTAGGAAGAACAGACTCCACTGCACATTGCCTCTCGCTTGGGTAAAACGGAGATCGTCCAGCTTCTGCTACAGCACATGGCCCACCCTGATGCTGCAACCACTAATGGATACACTCCGCTGCACATCTCTGCCAGAGAAGGACAAGTTGATGTTGCATCTGTTCTCCTTGAGGCAGGTGCCTCTCACTCCATGTCCACCAAAGTAAGACAAAATGCTTTGTGTCTGAGTGCATGTGTGTTCAATGAGGAACGTACTTTCACACTGAGAAAATGAGCTAGTTTGGGTCTTCTGTTCTATTCTTTCTTAATCAACAGCAATCCAATAGACTGAAGTAATGTATCAGAATGCATGTTAATCAAATTTTGACATATTTTGTTGTCATTTAAAGTTGGGAGTTTGGTTCCCACTGGAGCCAAATGCAAATCATGGTAAATATATGGTCTCAACAGGTTTGAAATGTACATTAAGTCCTCATTTATGGGCAGGGTTTTTTCGGCCAAAAAGTAGGAAAGGCGCAGGGGGGTACTTTTCAAATGAGCAAGCCTACAGAGCTTTCAGTACCTTCTTTATTTAAATGGTAAAATAATTCTGGTCTGTACTGGCTGAAAGGAATGTTCCTAAAACATACAATTCAGCATCTGTCCAGTCTCATCTAAAGCTGTATCGATTTTCAGTGGTTCTATGACTGAGGCGTCATATGACACAATAGGCCATTTTGTCTGGGGTTATAAAAGAAGTAATCTGCAGAATTATTATTGTTTTATTAGCCAAAAATGTTTATCAATAGATTCCTAACAGTGATGAACACATAAGAAAATAGATAGCTGTGAATAGAATTATGTGCCAAGATATCTTTTCCAAATTTATCGCATGTGATTAAGTGATTCTTGCTATTGTTTTAGGTCTGAAAAAGTACATATTTTTTTTGAACAATGGGGTGTCTTCCAGGGTTTAGAAGACTAAAGTAATTTTCAAATTATGATCCATTGATTACTGGAAATTCTTGCTGTTCTCTTTTTATCCAGCTGTTAAATCACATTAAAATGGCTAAAAATACACTAAATACTTTCCTAATTTTCCATATTGCTTTATGTCAATGGCTTTAGCACTGCAGGAACATTCTATAATTATGAATAGGAGAAGATATAGTCCACTAGATATAGTCTCTCTCCAAACCTGTGATTCATGAACTGGAAATATTTGAGAATCCCTGATGTAAACTCTTATTGAGGTGGGATTAATGGAACAAGATGATCATGAGGATAAACCTTGCACATCACTTACGTGGGAGGCAAATAGGTCATCGTAGCCTCTAAGAATTGCTGTCAGGGCAGTGGTGCAGTCTGCCACCTACTGTCTTGCGTTCAGGAGTTTTCCAGATCAACATGATTTTCAAAATTAAAAGAACAGGCAAAGAGCATGTTATTTGGATATAGACCTTATGTCTGTGCTTTACTGACAAGCATTATTTAAAATAAATGGAAAAGGACTCTTTTTTAAAGAGACAATATTTTTAGTCTTGCCACAAAGTGTTTCCAGAAGCACTGCCGCCGAGTCACATATGACATTTTTTAGCTGAAGTTCAGAGGCTGCAGCGGAATGTATGGATGCACAAGGCCAAATCAATCTTCAACAAACTCTCTAAAGGAGGAATACAGAGTTTGGAGCTTTTCTCACTGAATTTAGTTGGTGTTTCGTTGTTGCTGGCAACAATTGATACAGGAAATATTTCCAAAGCTGTCATAATGAAACTAAAAAATGCAGCTGCTTTGGAGTAGGAATTTGAACAAGTGCCTTCATTGCCCATACACAGAGTATATGTTGCTAGTGGAGTCTTTATCGGATAAAATGTTTGCTAGCCTGACAGCATGGACCTAGGAAAGAAGAATAAAAAGGAAAGTATTTTCTTGTATTTCATGCTTCTCCAAATGCTCTCAAGAGGTGATGCTATTTCTAGGTGTGGCTATTGATTCTGCCAGCTAGCGTATAGGTTGAAGAATAAGTGCTTGTTTAATACATAGTTCTTAAAAGAGAGGTGTCAGCATGACCTTTAACGCAAACATCTGCTTTTATATCCTGGAAATTCTCAGAAGGGATTCACACCTCTGCACGTGGCGGCCAAATACGGGAGCCTGGAAGTGGCCAAACTCCTGCTGCAGCGCCGTGCCTCTCCGGATTCGGCTGGCAAGGTACTGACGGGAGAGGAAAACACCTCGCAGCGCGGGGGATTCTTAGTTAGGCAGGAACTGTGCCAAGCACGCCTAGGAAAAGGCTGCAGCTGCTGCCCTGGCTTTGTTAAGGTCTCATTTCCTAAACGGTGATGGGTGTGCTGGTGGTGGAGACCCCAGCGGGTGGGTGTGCTGCTCACGGCTCTGCAGACGCACCGGTCCCATTAACCTCTCCAAACTCCAGATCCCTTCGCTACAAACAGGGGGCACAGCCCAGTGTCCCCCGTGCTGCGGGAACTACTTATCCCGGGGCTGGGGAGACGCAAACCA